AACACAATTCCTCACGGGACATTGTGAATTAAACTACCACATCAATAAGTACAAGCCGACAACTGTCCCTAAAACCTGTCCACACTGTCTCATGGAAGAGGAGACAATGAACCACTTTATTGGTCAGTGCCCGAAATGGTCTTACCAGCGAGGAGGATACTTTGACTCCTTCTACCTCAGCGTGACAGATATAGTGGACAAGTTCTCACTACCAAGGATCATCGGCTTTATACAAGCAACAAAACGTTTTACCAAATGTGGAGAGGACAAGGCTTAACCTTGCTTTCTGCACAGATTAACTTTACCGGGGTAAGCACAGGGCTTCAATGCTCTATCTTATAGTGGTTTTGATCTATTCCTTAGTAGTAAAGACCACAGCCCCCTACGAAGAAGAATGACTTCAGTGTTCAGACATCGTATTTTGACCAAGCCTAACGCTTGAATTCCTATGAAACTGAAAGGACAAGCAAGTCATACAAATGACTTTGGGAGAGTAGTTCAGGTTAACGAGGATGTAAAGGACATAATGCGTCTCCTTAGTCATGTCTATGTCCATAGTTTTAAACGGTTACACACCTTAGACAATAGCAAACACAGTAATCCTGGATGGTGAATATCATTATAAACACAATTAACATTTGATCGTCGGCCACGTTCTCTCCGTACCTAACTCGGGTAATCGTTCTTGTCCCATTGTTAATAAGTAATCCCTAATAAAGAGCAGATATGGTCCTAGGACAACGAACAGCCTCCTCCTTCTCCGTCCCAGTCGTGACTCGCCCGGTTATATTCTCCCTGAACCTTACGTTCCCTCGCCCTTATTTATCATTTTGTCGTATAATAGCGATGCTAATTTAATAATGCTTATTCATCAGATCCTTGCACCTGTTTTGATTAGTAATCAAGCATTGTATCACTTCCCCAGAAAAGATAAACACATCGGTTAAAATATTTAAGAGTCAGTGTTTAAATTCATACTTCAAAGATATCTCAGATTAGTAAAAACACAACTCCACTTATCAGAGTGACAAAATATATAACAACAATACAAAACAGGTTTTGATAAATTCTGAAACAATAAATAGCATTAAAACTCGAGCAAGTTTAATCAACAGTTTCCTCGTAAATCTACATTTAATGGTGATCCTGTCATATTTTACTCTTGATTCCCGAATCTCCTGTTCAGATAAGTAGGTAGGAATTTTAGCTTTAGTAAAAATAATCTTAGCTTTGTTTAATTTTGTGTGACCAAGTTGACACATATGCTGAGGTGGTATCAGGCATTAACCGATGGTAGAAAACCGTTATTGTAACCATTATTTCTCTGACCAGAATCATTCTGTTCGGAGTCTTCAGCTGACTTATTTTTGTAAACAGCAGTCCCGTCTATTGATATGATAGTCTCTGAGGGCCCAACAGCTTGCTTTGACCGTTCTCTCTTTACGCTTCTCCGACTTGATGACCTGGATCTGACGATATTGGGCGACGGTGATTTGTTGCTTTCCGAGGAGGTGGACAGGGTTGTAAGGAGCTGGGACTCCTCGAGTTTCTTCTCCTTTCCAAGGAGGAACCACGTGGTCATCACGCCTTTTCCCTGTGGGAGAGAGTAGTTTAGGATATTATGTCAACTGTTCAATACAGGGGATTCTGTGCACTGAGCCTACAACAGTACCGATCACGGATACACTTGTCGTATGGTAAACAGAGTATATGATGGAATTGATGTAGATTGTAGGCATTATCTAAGAACTCAGGAAGCTCGACCACTAAGAAAAACCGTTAAGGTTAGTATAAAGTAAAGGTTAGAATTATGGAAAGGATTAGGGTAATGTTATGGCATTAAATGCTTTGTCCGTTCCTCTAATTAATAATGATCGGTTGTTCGAGGTTACAATCTGTCTATTCCAATGAACCAGAACCCTTTACTGGAAAAATCAAAAATAAACACCAAAATTGGGCTGTAAAAAGAAATCGGAAGAAACTGAATCAATATCATACAGAATCCCATTGAACATAACAATCATTAATTTATAATTATAATTTCTGAAACCACAAGACCATCATGTGCTGCTGCTGGCTGCAAATCCCTCGTAGAATCATTGTGCTCACGCTCATCAAGTCACGTTTGTAATCTTGTTCCACCAAACATCGGATCATAATAATCACCCAGGCTTGAATCGAACATATATCCATTTCATGTCATGCTCCAATACTCACGCTACAAAATTTTGAGAAGTTTCGAGGTTGATTTCCTGTAATTTTCATCCGCAAAGTCGTGAGTGGTAAGGGGGCGGCAGGCTCTACGGCTCTCTCTATTGGGACGTCCCGAATTGGGCCGACCAGTCCTAGCTATATTGTTAGGACTGGGAATGGGGACTACTACGCCATTCTCAAGTATAGCGGAAGTTTGTTGAGAAAATACTGGCTGTGTTCGCAGTTTCTCGGATTCTGGGTTATCCAGTAGAAACCAGGTCTTCATTTGACCTTTTCCCTTGAGGAAACAAACTTAATTCAATACATTCTTCATAACGATATTCACATTTCAAATTTCACATTTCAAATTTCACAATTCAAATATCACATTTTACATTTCTAATATCTAAATGTTCATACAACATGAAATATTATTTGACCAAAAACCGAGTTGGCTAATGCAAGGAACAAAGGCATGGTGTTTTCCAAAGATACACGTCCTATTTGACGGAGTAGTATAATATTTTGAAGTTGCAGAGACTTAATAAGTTAATACGAGAGTTTTATCTAATTACAGTAGACCTATGTGCCAGAGTATAGTTTTTATAAGGCCTCACAGTCAGAGCTGAGTTACCAATACAAATAGGTTGAGTAAGTTTAGCTACCTTAGGGGGGCTGATACATTGAATACCTGGGGACAGAGATCGTTTTTTCACAACCCTAGTTCTAAGAATAATACGATGAACATTTTGCCCTGGCCGGATTGGAACTGGATTAGAGACTATGGCTTTCAAATCAAATGGAGTGTCACCAATAAATCGTCTGGATTCTTCAGACAAGCATAATTGAAAGCTTTGACGTAGATGGTCCCAAATCAACTTAACATCCTTTCCTAAAATAGCTTGGCCAGTAATCAGTTCGCAAATGGAGGTGACATGAACAAGACTGAAATAAATCCCAGGCTCACTTTTTTTCGAACAACCTGAATATCCCCCGAACTTAACACCAGTTCTACGATTCGAACAAGCCTTTCTGCTGAAGTGGATCGACAATAAAGAATGCATGTGCAGATATGTAACTTCTGACGGTTTCAATAAACTTAGCTTGGAGTTAGGCTGAAAAAAATCTACAAGTTCTAGATCAGGCAAAATATTTTTAAATAGTTCGTACATTTCAACGAACTTAGCATCTTCGGCACACAATGAAAGTGTAAGGGTGAGGGAACTACAGCTCATTATCACAAAGAAAAATCAGGCAACACAGGTAAAATTGGGAACTAGGCTAAGACCTTACAAATAATAGTTAAACGTCGAAGTAAAAGGAATTTTATGAAACAAATTTTAAACGTCTGATATGATAGCGCTTGATTTGCGTCTCATAAAATTTTTTCAATCGGTCGGTTTAAATATTGCTTCCTAAAGCCGCGCGCTATAAAATGTGAGACCTAAATTATGTCCACTAATTATTTTAAAATATATATTGCAAATTTCGTACTGAAAAATTTGTCACAATCTCACTAAAAAGATGGTGTAAACATTTTTGAGATCCGAGCAAGTTTAATTTTAACGCGCACCACCTAACTATAGTCCGCACACTGGGTCGGGCTTCTTGGATATGGCCCTCTTCTCACTTAATGGGGTGGGCTTTTAGTTCACTTTCCGAGCAGGACACAACCAGCAAATAGAGCTATGTATGGTTAATAATGGCTATTCGCCTTGAAATGGGGGCTGTCGTACCCAAATTTGCTGGGTGGTGTTATCACCCTGCTAATAGTCTGCTTCTCCCTTGCTGGGTGGTGTTATCACCCTGCTAATAGTGATCTGCTTCTCCCTTGCTGGGTGGTGTTATCACCCTGCTAATTATAGTCTGCTTCTCCCTTGCTGGGTGGTGTTATCACCCTGCTAATAGTCTGCTTCTCCCTTGCTGGGTGGTGTTATCACCCTGCTAATAGTCTGCTTCTCCCTTGGCTTTTTTACAAAAGCAGGATGTTCAATTCTGATATTCCCCTGCAACCTCAGAATCCAAAATTTCGGCAACTGGATTGGGGATCATTAGAGCAGGTCGCATGGCTGCAATATTTTATGCACTTTTCTCTTATCAGAGCACTTCTCGACAGTCATATGAATATATATCACGAAGAGGTAACGTGTCAATTCAAGCAGAACTGTTGATGGAGAATGAACTTCTTAACAAGTTACCGTCTCATGTCTTGCGATATAAAGTCCCTGGATTGTGAGACGTCTGCAGCAGCATGTGTAACAAATTAACAAGTATCAGTGATCATGCATACTCGTATTATCCAATGATGTGTCTAGCCTGCCAATAGCAATCACAAACTAGTAAAATCCCTCTGTTCAGTACCACTAAATTGTTGTTTGTTTGTTGTTTGCTTGTTGTTTGCTTGTTGTTAGCTTGTTGTTTGCTTGTCGTTTGCGTGTTGTTTGTTTGTTGTTTGCTTCTTGTTTGTCTGTTGTTTGTTGTTTGTTTGCTTGTTGTTTGCTTGTTGTTTGCTTGTTGGTTGCTTGTTGTTTGCTTGTTGTTTGTTGTTTGCTTGTTGTTTGCTTGTTGTTTGCTTGTTGTTTGCTTGTTGTTTGCTTGTTGTTTGCTTGTTGTTTGCTTGTCGTTTGCTTGTTATTATTATGCAAAATGCTATACTCGGTGGGACTTCGACAAACTAATGTGTTTTTTATACTTTACTTTAGAGCAGACCATTTTTTTATCTACTGTTAATAAAAATAATCAACTAGCGGATTGATTGCTGTATCTGTGATAACATTATGTTTAATTTTTACAAATAAGACAGATACTTAAATTCAAATGCTAAAAGCATCAAATACAGGAAAATTGTTACAGTTTAGAAGAATAGTATAGTAATACGGAATCGTTTTAAACACATTATAAGATTGTAAGCTATGATTACAGAAATCAACTTATTGTGCCCATTGATTAAGATAACAATGAATAATTGTCCTCGTAACCTCCACCCATCAGGTATCACGTGATCACACATGTGTCTACGCGTACTGCGGTCCCGCGCTACTGCATGTTAGAGCAAGTATAACGTGATCACGTCATCATTAGAGGTATCTGCACTTAGCACCCAGTTAGCTAATAGCAGAAACCGCAAGCTTTAGCGCAATTTTCTCTAAGTGTTTCTTCTTTTGCTCCTAGGCAGTTTCCTTGCCCAAGTGTAATATGTATATTACACATGTTTTCAAAACCATTCATAGTGTCAAATTTATTAACACATGGTGGTGTTTGTGATTGAGCTGAAAAGTTGTAATATTAAATACGCGTTAATTAAAGATTAATTAATGATTAAATAAGTGCATCTCCCACCTGTTATAGTGGGGCTCAATGGGTTATCTGAATTTCTCATAAACTCCAGTTTCACATTAAATACATCCAGAACAATCCTATTCCCTATCAAAACGATACACTAAATTGGGTTACATTGTAATTGGGTATTTTTTTTGAATGTTTGGTGTAAAAATACCAATGTAATGTCGATATCATGTATTAGTAATAAATCGATAGAAATTCGCAAATTAAATCAGATTAAAATAAACCACCATTTTGCTTACCATTAAATCCAGCCACGAGTAGAAATACTGCCACAATCTTCATCATCATCATCATAGCTCCTTGATATCTGTATTGCGATCGTTATATTGATTTCATGAGTATGAAAGAAAGGTGGTATCGATATGATAATTCAGATTGTGGATACAACGGTTAAGAAATTGTTAACATAATCTAAAACAGTATTGCTCTATGAACTGTGGCCAAAAATGTTTGTTGATAAAACAATTAAAACACACCTTCTAACTTTTTGGCCTTCAAGGCCTGGCTATGCACGAACACCATTTTGCCTCATGATTGACCCCGCCCAACCCTTCAACACTGACGTGTAATTTTTTGCATCATAACACGAATTACAATAGATACCTGTTTTGAGTTGGATATTGTGTATTGCTGGTGCAGAAAGTATAATGATCATTGTTTACTGTAGCCGTATAGTAGGACTTGTCGTGATATCATGGATCGCTTAGGTTCAACCATGAGGATCTGGTAGTCCTCATGATTCTGCGGCCTCTATGTATCGTCATCTCGCACAACTCCTTAAGAATCTTACGTTTTTGGCATGTGAAAATTTGCAGCGAGGTGTCGTACGTCACCTCAAGATCATGTAATTACAGGGAGCTGACTGCCAGACCTTGGGTCAGAAGTGATATGACCACAATATACGTCATCAATTAATTAACGTGCAAGCTTGAAGCTTGTGGCGTATAATTAGTGATGTGATCCATGGATGTTTTAAATTGAGACAATGTATTGGTTGGTTATAAAATGTTAAATCGATTAATAATATAATACTTCAGAATACAACAAATTACTCAATATTATTACCAAAGTATTTCGCAACAGCGAACAAGTACTCAATCTTTGTTGGGTATTCCTTCGGGAGCATGTAAGATTATATCCAAAGTTTGTTCGCCAATGGGGTGTGTCTGCCAGACACTGTCTGGGTGTCAAAAATCTTCAAGGTGGGTGCTACTTGTGATGAACTCTAGAAGGATGGGATGGTAATACTCGGTCTGGCCGTCTGGAAGCCCATAGAATTCCAGTTCAGAAACCGAGTAAGGAGGTGCGGCTACTGATGAGAAGCCTCCTTAAAGTTTATTTGGGTTAGAAACGACATCTGGGTCCCTACCCTCGCACAAGATTATTCTCAATTTTCTTGTTGTGTCCACAACTATACCGTTGATCAGAGTCACATCTGATGACTTCAGTGAAAGGGCTGATGACTTCAGTGAAAGAGCTGGTGACCTAGTGAAAGTGCTGGTGACGATGAGAAAGACCATAAACCAGGGATTCCTTCGGGAGCATGTAAGATTATATCCAAAGTTTGTTCGCCAATGGGGTGTGTCTGGGTGTCAAAGATCTTCAAGGTGGGTGCTACTTGTGATGAACTCTAGAAGGATGGGATGGTAATACTCGGTCTGGCCGTCTGGAAGCCCATAGAATTCCAGTTCAGAAACCGAGTAAGGAGGTGCGGCTACTGATGAGAAGCCTCCTTAAAGTTTATTTGGGTTAGAAACGACATCTGGGTCCCTACCCTCGCACAAGATTATTCTCAATTTTCTTGTTGTGTCCACAACTAGAGAAGGTAGGCATGACTGTTGATAGAATGCGATACTACTACCTGCGATACTACTATCTTCCAGTATATATACCTAAGAACACTTGATCGGCTCACTCTCCTTACATGCCTTTGGCAAGTACGTCTCACATCCCTTGATACGAGAACCCCCCTTTAGCAAGAGCTCCCGTCCCTTATGTGATCTACGAGTCGAGCAGTCAGATCATGTTTACTTCTTAATGTACAGCTATGATTTACAGAATTGACATGTGAACTCTACCCCAGATCTAGTCCATTTCTGTGTTAATTATATTTAATCTATGGATCACATCACTAATTATACGTCATTAATTAGTGACGTGATCTGACCCCTCTTGGGGGCCGGATCAGTTTTCTGACCCAAAGTCTCCCAATGGCTGACCAGGCCAGAAGTCAGTTGATTGGGTCTGAGGTCACGTTATTGTGAGCCTGAGGTCACGTGACTGTGACGTATCCAGAGCTTGTTCTCCGTTTCGCGCTCATTGGACCAGGTGAGCTCCCGTGGTTGTGAATGTGAATGTAAGTACTGTACTGTAGCATATCTCTATTACCCCCTATAGAAACCCAAATTCAACTTATGACAGAAAAAAAATTTACCAAAATATCGACCTTGTTATAAACTCATTTTGATGACCGAATACTTACAACGTTTTCGTCATTGTCAAATAAAATCCATACTTTCTACAGTAAAGAGCTTTGAGCTAAATGGTGATGTGAAGAGACTAGATAAATTTAAACATAAATAATTTTTTTAATTTCCTCGAACAAAGCTTTCGACTAGCGGGTTTCTAGTCAGTTATAAACGGAGGCAGGTTTTTGTTGGTGTTCTTTTTTCAGTCATTTGACACGAGATAACCTGGGCCACATTGGTAAAACCTGAAGTTTAAGGCATAAGGAACTCTGAATCCGAATTTAATAAATTTCTCGTGCAATTTAAGGTCATGAACTGTCATTAAAATGAGTGTAGAACAATTTTGATATTTTGGATTATTTCTAGCTTTCTGTCAGAAAATAAATCTGAGCTTTTATAAGGGTACCATTTTACTAACACCACGGCATCAACTTTAACACGACTTCCCACAAAAACCGTAAAAGATATACAACTTAAAATTTTTCGACTGGTTCAAATGCTTTAATGGCCTTCAAATCAGCATGAAAAATTTAAAAATTGGCCAAGGAATACGAATTTGAGTGCCCAAAAAGTGTTGTCAAATGGACCGGAGAACCAAAAGAGTAAGTAATAAATAGCCTTGGGAGCTTATTATATATAATCACTACTGCACTCTCATGCGGCTTCTATATTAATATAGAAAGTGATACAGTGTCACATGCAACTATAAGTATAATGTTTGGATCAGGTTTCTCCTAAAAGTTTCTCTTTGCAAGGAAAAGTGAGAGATGAGACAACTAGCTTAACAGACGAGCACTTTAATAAGTAAGAGACCAATGCTTATATCTTTTATCTTACACTCACATCACACGCAAATTCACATTTAGTTTCACAAGCATGGGAGCTCACCTGGTCCAACGAGCTTGGTATTTATAATCACTTATACTGCACTCTCATGCGGCTTCTAGTTCTATATTAATATAGAAAGTGATACAGTGTCACATGCAACTATAAGTATAATGTTTGGATCGGTTTCTCCTAAAAGTTTCTCTTTGCAAGGAAAAGTGAGAGATGAGACAACTAATTTAACAGACGAGCCCTTTAATAAATAATAGACCAATGCTTATATATTTTATCTTACACTCACATCACACTCACTCGACTAGGAAACCACTAAAATGCAACTTAATATTCTCGGTAATTTTTTCCTTTTCACCCTTTTGAAAAAAGGCAATAGTGAAAGGTTACGAATAGAGGTTTCGGCAGAAAAACGTTAATTTTGGAGATCGCGTTAGGCGGGTCTGTATATCATTATGATGTCATTTCTTCCGTTACCATGCAACGAAAAATGAAAAAGTCGCGCGCGCGAGGATTGCGTGCGGAGATGTGATGTATAGATAGCTTGTATCACGTTGCGACCCCCACGGTCGTTTCACTATGGTGGGTGTCAAGTAATTTGTCGTCCTGACGATACAGGGGGAGCGGCGCACTTCGTGCGCGGCGGGTCATACAACGTACGACAATAGATCGCCTGTGATCTATGAATGCGTGGTGCGACTGTGTTTTAATGTATATGATGCATGTATATACATATCACCGGAGACTCGCGGGCGGCACAAAATATTGCACGCGCGTGCGCATGCAATATTTCATATGTCCCCGAGGGCGCTATACTAGCCCGAGGAAGACATATTTTCGTATAGCACGGAGGGCCCATCGGGCCCGAGTGCTATACGATTTTTCCGCCCGCGGGTCGAGGTGATGTGGATTATATCCACCAGCGTGAGCTTTTTCTTACAGATATTAGTTTTTACTTTAGTTTCTCGAGCGTGCTAAATCACTGATTGGGAATCGAGCGGTTTACTTGATTAATGTTTACTCAAAATTATAATACAAACAGTAATAGATAGAAAATAGTAATGTTAAAGAATTCTTTTAAAAAAAACCCCTCTGGAAAGGGCACTGCACACTGTTATCAAAAGTACACTGTGATCATGAAGTACTATGAACTACAGATTTAAAAACACGACGCTTCACGCTACACATGATATTACACTTCCATTATATCGATCCTATAGGTTAAAAAGTTTAGACTTGCACTGAACAGCTTGGACTATTGTTTTTAAAATTTCGTGCAAAATTTTACCATGATATTATATTCTGAATTGATTAATATGTATATGGTTATTAGACATTGTTTACTAACTCATTCATATTCCTTTTATAGCCTTTCTATGGATTAAAACGAGTTGTTACTTCTCCACGACATTACCACAGTTAGTATAGAGTAAAGGTTAGAATTATGGAAAGGATTAGGGTAATGTTATGGCATTAAATGCTTTGTCCGTTCCTCTAATTAATAATGATCGGTTGTTCGAGGTTACAATCTGTCTATTCCAATGAACCAGAACCCTTTACTGGAAAAATCAAAAATAAACACCAAAATTGGGCTGTAAAAAGAAATCGGAAGAAACTGAATCAATATCATACAGAATCCCATTGAACATAACAATCATTAATTTATAATTATAATTTCTGAAACCACAAGACCATCATGTGCTGCTGCTGGCTGCAAATCCCTCGTAGAATCATTGTGCTCACGCTCATCAAGTCACGTTTGTAATCTTGTTCCACCAAACATCGGATCATAATAATCACCCAGGCTCGAATCGAACATATATCCATTTCATGTCATGCTCCAATACTCACGCTACAAAATTTTGAGAAGTTTCGAGGTTGATTTCCTGTAATTTTCATCCGCAATACTCACGCTACAAAATTTTGAGAAGTTTCGAGGTTGATTTCCTGTAATTTTCATCCGCAAAGTCGTGAGTGGTAAGGGGGCGGCGGGCTCTACGGCTCTCTCTCTCTATTGGGACGTCCCGAATTAGGCCGACCAGTCCTAGCTATATTGTTAGGACTGGGACTGGGGACTACTACGCCATTCTCAAGTATAGCGGAAGTTTGTTGAGAAAATACTGGCTGTGTTCGCAGTTTCTCGGATTCTGGGTTATCCAGTAGAAACCAGGTCTTCATTTGACCTTTTCCCTTGAGGAAACAAACTTAATTCAATACATTCTTCATAACGATATTCACATTTCAAATTTCACAGTTCAAATATCACATTTTACATTTCTAATATCTAAATGTTCATACAACATGAAATATTATTTGACCAAAAACCGAGTTGGCTAATGCAAGGAACAAAGGCATGGTGTTTTCCAAAGATACACGTCCTATTTGACGGAGTAGTATAATACCCAAATGAATAGCTGGGTTGATATTTTTGATGAAATGTCGGACTTCAATTTGAGTAAACTGATGTTGATCAAAATTCTCATTTGTTTTTCTAATTTAACTGAGTCGAAGTTTGGGTCCTCAATTTGATCCTCGATTACTTCTAAATCATTCTGAATATCTTCTAATGACAACAATTTGTTCGTAAGATAGTCAATATTTTCATTGAAAGATTTCAATTTCCCAGTTAGATTCTTGTTATCTTTAACAACAGTATTTTGGATGACTACATGTTCTTGAAATTTTTCCTGCAATTCAAAATGACCTGCTTGCAAATTCTTTAAATCGTTGGCCAAAACCAAATTTTCGTTCTCTTTTTGTGTATATTTAATTAGCAGTAGACGATTTTGAAGTTGCAGAGACTTAATACGAGAGTTTTGTCTAATTACAGTAGACCTATGTGCCAGAGTATAGTTTTTATAAGGCCTCACAGTCAGAGCTGAGTTACCAATACAAAGAGGTTGAGTAAGTTTAGCTACCTTAGGGGGGCTGATACATTGAATACCTGGGGACAGAGATCGTTTTTTCACAACCCTAGTTCTAAGAATAATACGATGAACATTTTGCCCTGGCCGGATTGGAACTGGATTAGAGACTATGGCTTTCAAATCAAATGGAGTGTCACCAATAAATCGTCTGGATTCTTCAGACAAACATAATTGAAAGCTTTGACGTAGATGGTCCCAAATCAACTTAACATCCTTTCCTAAAATAGCTTGGCCAGTAATCAGTTCGCAAATGGAGGTGACATGAACAAGACTGAAATAAATCCCAGGCTCACTTTTTTTCGAACAACCTGAATATCCCCCGAACTTAACACCAGTTCTACGATTCGAACAAGCCTTTCTGCTGAAGTGGATCGACAATAAAGAATGCATGTGCAGATATGTAACTTCTGACGGTTTCAATAAACTTAGCTTGGAGTTAGGCTGAAAAAAATCTACAAGTTCTAGATCAGGCAAAATATTTTTAAATAGTTCGTACATTTCAACGAACTTAGCATCTTCGGCACACAATGAAAGTGTAAGGGTGAGGGAACTACAGCTCATTATCACAAAGAAAAATCAGGCAACACAGGTAAAATTGGGAACTAGGCTAAGACCTTACAAATAATAGTTAAACGTCGAAGTAAAAGGAATTTTATGAAACAAATTTTAAACGTCTGATATGATAGCGCTTGATTTGCGTCTCATAAAATTTTTTCAATCGGTCGGTTTAAATATTGCTTCCTAAAGCCGCGCGCTATAAAATGTGAGACCTAAATTATGTCCACTAATTATTTTAAAATATATATTGCAAATTTCGTACTGAAAAATTTGTCACAATCTCACTAAAAAGATGGTGTAAACATTTTTGAGATCCGAGCAAGTTTAATTTTAACGCGCACCACCTAACTATAGTCCGCACACTGGGTCGGGCTTCTTGGATATGGCCCTCTTCTCACTTAATGGGGTGGGCTTTTAGTTCACTTTCCGAGCAGGACACAACCAGCAAATAGAGCTATGTATGGTTAATAATGGCTATTCGCCTTGAAATGGGGGCTGTCGTACCCAAATTTGCTGGGTGGTGTTATCACCCTGCTAATAGTCTGCTTCTCCCTTGCTGGGTGGTGTTATCACCCTGCTAATAGTGATCTGCTTCTCCCTTGCTGGGCAGAGGCACATATTAGGTGCGATGGGTGCGGGATCGCACAATTTACCGTTTTCCGCACATTTCCGCATAATTTATTGTTTTCCGCACATTTCCGCACATTTTGTAATTTTCTGCATATTTCCGCATAATCTAGCATTTTCCGCGTAATTTCGCATAATTTTGAAATTTTCGCGTTAAGATTTTCGAGTGTAAACACCAAAATATGTTAAAAGTCGGGCCCTTTTAGGACCGTGACTCAGGCCCTTTCGGGACCGTGACCCAGGCCCTTTTGGAACTCATACCTAGGCCACGTGAACCAGTTACCATGTGACCCAGGCCCTTACGGGACCCTGACCCAGGCCCTTTCGGGACCGTGTCTCAGGCCCTTTTGGAACTCCGGCCTAGGCCACGTGTAATGTAATTCATCTAGATCAGGCAGTTGTAATGCAGGGGTTTCACAGTCGTAGTCCAGCATAATTAAGAATGTATCGAGGGAGTCCAGGGGTTGGAGTTGTTGAGTAGATTCCATGATCCAAAGTAGGTGATAATAGAAGAAGTAGGTGTAAATGGAGCTGAGCTCTATTCGTTGTAGCGTTGGCTTTATAGTGGGCTTAATGGATCTTGGATCAAATGGTTCACAAGTACTGACGATCAATGCCAACAAGCGTGTCACATATTTGCGATCACGCATGGGATCTGATCGACTCTATCAAGAGGCGTCTTCAAATAACTGTCTACTGATCTCTACCAGATCAAGTCACTGTTCTCAGATAACTGAATCTCAATATAGGTTCAATCATGGTCTTAGTAAAGAACTACATCCTCAGTAACACATAAACAGACCTATTTTTGATAAGAGCGGCGGTTATACGTTTAGAATTTCCAAAGTCCTTGAGAAAATGCAAAAGAAAACCGCACAATTCCCGCACAAATTTCGAAAAAATCGCCGCACATTTGCCGCATAATTGGTAAAAATTTACCGCACCTTACCGCACATTTTACCTTTATAGTCGGGTGCGGTACCGCATAATTTCGATTTTTTTACCGCACCTAATATGTGCCTCTGTTGCTGGGTGGTGTTATCACCCTGCTAATTATAGTCTGCTTCTCCCTTGCTGGGTGGTGTTATCACCCTGCTAATAGTCTGCTTCTCCCTTGCTGGGTGGTGTTATCACCCTGCTAATAGTCTGCTTCTCCCTTGGCTTTTTTACAAAAGCAGGATGTTCAATTCTGATATTCCCCTGCAACCTCAGAATCCAAAATTTCGGCAACTGGATTGGGGATCATTAGAGCAGGTCGCATGGCTGCAATATTTTATGCACTTTTCTCTTATCAGAGCACTTCTCGACAGTCATATGAATATATATCACGAAGAGGTAACGTGTCAATTCAAGCAGAACTGTTGATGGAGAATGAACTTCTTAACAAGTTACCGTCTCATGTCTTGCGATATAAAGTCCCTGGATTGTGAGACGTCTGCAGCAGCATGTGTAACAAATTAACAAGTATCAGTGATCATGCATACTCGTATTATCCAATGATGTGTCTAGCCTGCCAATAGCAATCACAAACTAGTAAAATCCCTCTGTTCAGTACCACTAAATTGTTGTTTGTTTGTTGTTTGCTTGTTGTTTGCTTGTTGTTAGCTTGTTGTTTGCTTGTCGTTTGCTTGTTGTTTGTTTGTTGTTTGCTTCTTGTTTGTCTGTTGTTTGTTGTTTGTTTGCTTGTTGTTTGCTTGTTGTTTGCTTGTTGGTTGCTTGTTGTTTGCTTGTTGTTTGTTGTTTGCTTGTTGTTTGCTTGTTGTTTGCTTGTTGTTTGCTTGTTGTTTGCTTGTTGTTTGCTTGTTGTTTGCTTGTTGTTTGCTTGTCGTTTGCTTGTTATTATTATGCAAAATGCTATACTCGGTGGGACTTCGACAAACTAATGTGTTTTTTATACTTTACTTTAGAGCAGACCATTTTTTTATCTACTGTTAATAAAAATAATCAACTAGCGGATTGATTGCTGTATCTGTGATAACATTATGTTTAATTTTTACAAATAAGACAGATACTTAAATTCAAATGCTAAAAGCATCAAATACAGGAAAATTGTTACAGTTTAGAAGAATAGTATAGTAATACGGAATCGTTTTAAACACATTATAAGATTGTAAGCTATGATTACAGAAATCAACTTATTGTGCCCATTGATTAAGATAACAATGAATAATTGTCCTCGTAACCTCCACCCATCAGGTATCACGTGATCACACATGTGTCTACGCGTACTGCGGTCCCGCGCTACTGCATGTTAGAGCAAGTATAACGTGATCACGTCATCATTAGAGGTATCTGCACTTAGCACCCAGTTAGCTAATAGCAGAAACCGCAAGCTTTAGCGCAATTTTCTCTAAGTGTTTCTTCTTTTGCTCCTAGGCAGTTTCCTTGCCCAAGTGTAGTATGTATATTACACATGTTTTCAAAACCATTCATAGTGTCAAATTTATTAACACATGGTGGTGTTTGTGATTGAGCTGAAAAGTTGTAATATTAAATACGCGTTAATTAAAGATTAATTAATGATTAAATAAGTGCATCTCCCACCTGTTATAGTGGGGCTCAATGGGTTATCTGAATTTCTCATAAACTCCAGTTTCACATTAAATACATCCAGAACAATCCTATTCCCTATCAAAACGATACACTAAATTGGGTTACATTGTAATTGGGTATTTTTTTTTGAATGTTTGGTGTAAAAATACCAATGTAATGTCGATATCATGTATTAGTAATAAATCGATAGAAATTCGGTATTCGCAAATTAAATCAGATTAAAATAAACCACCATTTTGCTTACCATTGAATCCAGCCACGAGTAGAAATACTGCCACAATCTTCATCATCATCATCATAGCTCCTTGATATCTGTATTGCGATCGTTATATTGATTCCATGAGTATGAAAGAAAGGTGGTAATGGTATCGATATGATAATTCAGATTGTGGATACAACGGTTAAGAAATTGTTAACATAATCTAAAACAGTATTGCTCTATGAAAGTATGAACTAGGAACCGACCGGAAATCCGGCTGAATCCGGTTCCGGCCGGATATCCGGCTTCAAAATCCGGTTCCGGTTCCGGCTCCGGCTGGAAAAAAATTTGCCGGATTTTTGCCGGATTTCAGTTTTTTTTACCGAAAAAAAAAATCAAAAAAATATTTTCGGCTAATAATGAACAGGGTAGCCTGAATCGTGGAAAAAAAGTGGTTTTCAGAAAAACTTTGAAAAATTTTGACTTAGAAGTTTTTCGGTCCGAGTCGTTCTCGAGACGTACCTCTTGTATCGAGAGCTCCCGCTTCCGAGCTCGTGTTGCAAAGGGGAGGCCTGCCTTCCAAGATCACATTACCGGGGGAAACCTCGAGTCCAGAATTGTGTATCGATGGGTAGGTGCGGACTTCGAAAAACCAAAAAAATATTTTCGGCTAATAATGAACAGGGTAGCCTGAATCGTGGAAAAAAGTGGTTTTCAGAAAAACTTTGAAAAATTTTACTTAAAAGTTTTCGGTCCGAGTCGTTCTCGAGACGTACCTCCTGTATCGAGAGCTCCCGCTTCCGAGCTCGTGTTGCAAAGGGGAGGCCTGCCTTCCAAGATCACATTACCGGGGGAAACCTCGAGTCCAGAATTGTGTATCGATGGGTAGGTGCGGACTTCGAAAAACCAAAAAAATATTTTCGGCTAATAATGAACAGGGTAGCCTGAATCGTGGAAAAAAGTGGTTTTAAGAAAAAACTTTTAAAAAATTTTGACTTAGAAGTTTTTCGGTCCGAGTCGTTCTCGAGACGTACCTCCTGTATCAAGAGCTCCCGCTTCCGAGCTCGTGTTGCAAAGGGGAGGCCTGCCTTCCAAGATCACATTACCGGGGGAAACCTCGAGTCCAGAATTGTGTATCGATGGGTAGGTGCGGACTTCGAAAAACCAAAAAAATATTTTCGGCTAATAATGAACAGGGTAGCCTGAATCGTGGAAAAAAGTGGTTTTCAGAAAAACTTTGAAAAATTTTACTTAAAAGTTTTCGGTCCGAGTCGTTCTCGAGACGTACCTCCTGTATCGAGAGCTCCCGCTTCCGAGCTCGTGTTGCAAAGGGGAGGCCTGCCTTCCAAGATCACATTACCGGGGGAAACCTCGAGTCCAGAATTGTGTATCGATGGGTAGGTGCGGACTTCGAAAAACCAAAAAAATATTTTCGGCTAATAATGAACAGGGTAGCCTGAATCGTGGAAAAAAGTGGTTTTCAGAAAAACTTTGAAAAATTTTACTTAAAAGTTTTCGGTCCGAGTCGTTCTCGAGACGTACCTCCTGTATCGAGAGCTCCCGCTTCCGAGCTCGTGTTGCAAAGGGGAGGCCTGCCTTCCAAGATCACATTACCGGGGGAAACCTCGAGTCCAGAATTGTGTATCGATGGGTAGGTGCGGACTTCGAAAAACCAAAAAAATATTTTCGGCTAATAATGAACAGGGTAGCCTGAATCGTGGAAAAAAGTGGTTTTAAGAAAAAACTTTTAAAAAATTTTGACTTAGAAGTTTTTCGGTCCGAGTCGTTCTCGAGACGTACCTCCTGTATCGAGAGCTCCCGCTTCCGAGCTCGTGTTGCAAAGGGGAGGCCTGCCTTCCAAGATCACATTACCGGGGGAAACCTCGAGTCCAGAATTGTGTATCGATGGGTAGGTGCGGACTTCGAAAAACCAAAAAAATATTTTCGGCTAATAATGAACAGGGTAGCCTGAATCGTGGAAAAAAGTGGTTTTCAGAAAAACTTTGAAAAATTTTGACTTAGAAGTTTTTCGGTCCGAGTCGTCCTCGAGACGTACTTCCTGTATCGAGAGCTCCTGCTTCCGAGCTCGTGTTGCAAAGGGGAGGCCTGCCTTCCAAGATCACATTACCGGGGGAAACCTCGAGTCCAGAATTGTGTATCGATGGGTAGGTGCGGACTTCGAAAAACCAAAAAAATATTTTCGGCTAATAATGAACAGGGTAGCCTGAATCGTGGAAAAAAGTGGTTTTCAGAAAAACTTTGAAAATTTTGACTTAGAAGTTTTTCGGTCCGAGTCGTTCTCGAGACGTACCTCCTGTATCGAGAGCTCCCGCTTCCGAGCTCGTGTTGCAAAGGGGAGGCCTGTCTTCCAAGATCACATTACCGGGGGAAACCTCGAGTCCAGAATTGTGTATCGATGGGTAGGTGCGGACTTCGAAAAACCAAAAAAATATTTTCGGCTAATAATGAACAGGGTAGCCTGAATCGTGGAAAAAAGTGGTTTTAAGAAAAAACTTTTAAAAAATTTTGACTTAGAAGTTTTTCGGTCCGAGTCGTTCTCGAAACGTACCTCCTGTATCGAGAGCTCCCGCTTCCGAGCTCGTGTTGCAAAGGGGAGGCCTGCCTTCCAAGATCACATTACCGGGGGAAACCTCGAGTCCAGAATTGTGTATCGATGGGTAGGTGCGGACTTCGAAAAACCAAAAAAATATTTTCGGCTAATAATGAACAGGGTAGCCTGAATCGTGGAAAAAAGTGGTTTTCAGAAAAACTTTGAAAATTTTGACTTAGAAGTTTTTCGGTCCGAGTCGTTCTCGAAACGTACCTCCTGTATCGAGAGCTCCCGCTTCCGAGCTCGTGTTGCAAAGGGGAGGCCTGCCTTCCAAGATCACATTACCGGGGGAAACCTCGAGTCCAGAATTGTGTATCGATGGGTAGGTGCGGACTTCGAAAAACCAAAAAAATATTTTCGGCTAATAATGAACAGGGTAGCCTGAATCGTGGAAAAAAGTGGTTTTCAGAAAAACTTTGAAAAATTTTGACTTAGAAGTTTTTCGGTCCGAGTCGTTCTCGAGACGTACCTCCTGTATCGAGAGCTCCCGCTTCCGAGCTCGTGTTGCAAAGGGGAGGCCTGCCTTCCAAGATCACATTACCGGGGGAAACCTCGAGTCCAGAATTGTGTATCGATGGGTAGGTGCGGACTTCGAAAAACCAAAAAAATATTTTCGGCTAATAATGAACAGGGTAGCCTGAATCGTGGAAAAAAGTGGTTTTAAGAAAAAACTTTTAAAAATTTTGACTTAGAAGTTTTTCGGTCCGAGTCGTTCTCGAGACGTACCTCCTGTATCGAGAGCTCCCGCTTCCGAGCTCGTGTTGCAAAGGGGAGGCCTGCCTTCCAAGATCACATTACCGGGGGAAACCTCGAGTCCAGAATTGTGTATCGATGGGTAGGTGCGGACTTCGAAAAACCAAAAAAATATTTTCGGCTAATAATGAACAGGGTAGCCTGAATCGTGGAAAAAAGTGGTTTTCAGAAAAACTTTGAAAAATTTTGACTTAGAAGTTTTTCGGTCCGAGTCGTTCCTGAGACGTACCTCCTGTATCGAGAGCTCGTGTTGCAAAGGGGAGGCCTGCCTTCCAAGATCACATTACCGGGGGAAACCTCGAGTCCAGAATTGTGTATCGATGGGTAGGTGCGGACTTCGAAAAACCAAAAAAATATTTTCGGCTAATAATGAACAGGGTAGCCTGAATCGTGGAAAAAAGTGGTTTTCAGAAAAACTTTGAAAAATTTTACTTAAAAGTTTTCGGTCCGAGTCGTTCTCGAGACGTACCTCCTGTATCGAGAGCTCCCGCTTCCGAGCTCGTGTTGCAAAGGGGAGGCCTGCCTTCCGAGATCGCATTACCGGGGGAAACCTTGAGTCCAGAATACAGAATAGTGTATCGAGGGGTAGGTGCGGACTTAGAAAAAACCGGAAAATATTTTGGGCCACCTCCCTGGGCTAGCCCCCGGCTATAATCGCAAAATTGGCAGTATTTAATCTTCTGATTATGAAATACGAAATATGAAGGTCACGTGTTCAGGGTTTAATTAGCTCATTACTGCAATCATGTGACTCAGCTCTAGACGCCAGACGGTGATTAGTACTGTACTAGACAGTGCCTGCTTACGAACAACCTTATTAAGCACCTCTGGTTGTAAGTCACGTGACCCAATGATACTCAGACTTGCATGAAAAAAAGGGAATTCGCACAAACGCGCTCAATCAGGGCCGGGGTCTGGCAGCATATGCCAATTAGATATCATTTCTGATTATTACTCGTCTAGTGTCGTGACTCGTGTCTACTCGTGTTACATTGTGTCTGCTACGTACTGCTTGTTTAAGCAATGTCTAGTAGTAGATAGGAAGATTTGTAAAAAAACTATATCTGTTCGGACGTTGAAGCCGCCCTAAGTCGAGTCGAGTAGTAGTAAATCTAAAACATCGTCCGTCTGCTTGTTCTACTCAGAAGAAAATGGGATCCCTTATGCAAGCTGCAAGAAGTGCTCGATGAAGATTAGGCGTGGAAAGGAAGGAAATTTTCCGGCAACATCCGGCAAAATCCGGCTGCCTTTTATTTCACTCTGAAACCACCGGTTCCGGTCCGGCAAAATCCGGCTTGCCGGATTTGAGATCCAAATCCGGCTGAATCCGGTCCGACAGCCAAAACCCCAATCCGGTCGGTTCCTAGTATGAACTGTGGCCAGAAATGTTTGTTGATAAAACAATTAAAACACACCTTCTAACTTTTTGGCCTTCAAGGCCTGGCTATGCACGAAAACCATTTTGCCTCATGATTGACCCCGCCCAACCCTTCAACACTGACGTGTAATTTTATCATCATAACACGAATTACAATAGATACCTGTTTTGAGTTGGATATTGTGTATTGCTGGTGCAGAAAGTATAATGATCATTGTTTACTGTAGCCGTATAGTAGGGCTTGTCGTGATATCATGGATCGCTTAGGTTCAACCATGAGGATCTGGTAGTCCTCATGATTCTGCGGCCTCTATGTATCGTCATCTCGCACAACTCCTTAAGAATCTTACGTTTTTGGCATGTGAAAATTTGCAGCGAG